CATGGACTAATATTGTTTCCTTCTAAACATGTCCTAGTTGCCATGAAAAAATATGTAGTGAACTAGTACCTATGTTCACCTGCTTCTTCTAATACATTGGTGCTTATATTTTTTTCTTTGAAATTCCAATTATCACTTTACATTTAGATGTTTGGAACTTTGCTTGCGCAATTCTTTTAGTTTTGGTCAAACAACATTCTACTTTCCTTTCCTGTAAAAATAATTTTTAAGCTAAAGATCTTTAAAATATCTGAACACAATTGGAATAGACGATTTCATTTTTGTTTAATTTGCTTCCTTTTCTTGTTTGGACACTTTTGATTCCTGACATTATTAAGTTTGGTGTGAGATATATCTAACAAAATTATTGATTTCTAGATAGTATTAGGATGTGAAGAGGGCTTGGTGGGATGAAGGGGATAAGCAAGATCTAAGACAATCACTTTGACATTGATACATAGTTTGAACCTTTTTTTATTCATGTTTAATATTATAAAGATGTTTACATTTTCTAGAGTGGAATTGAGTGGAATAGGAAGAAGCAAATGGTCTTATCATCTACTAAAAGTTCTATAAAATGGAATATGAATTTTTATGTGATTAGCTGGGATTTTGTTCCTTGCAACTTGTAAACTTGAAATTTGGAAAATTGACAAGTTGTATGCCATTTTTACTGTCTTTATTCATATCCTTGTGATGCAAATTGCGAGCAGTGAAGTTTTTGGCCTTTATTAGGTTGTAGATGGAAAAGCATTGAAGAAATGGTTGGATGAAAAAGTGGTCCCTCTTGTTCTATCCACTGGTCAAGATTTGGATGATAGATACTCTATCATTTCTATTGATACCCTTGTGGGAACATAGCAGGTATCGTCTAGATTGGAGAAAATGCACTTATTTGAAGATTAGTTGCTAAAAAATCACCAGGTGTCATTTTAGAGATTGAGTTATTTACTTGAGGCATAAAACTTTAACTGACGACATAAAGAATCGTTTGTTGAATGCTTTTTATGATTAAAAATTGCCAATTCAAGTGCATTACAAGCATGAGGCTTTAAAAGTTATATTGATTTACAACATGTTGCTCTAGTTTGGATGGCTTCTCTCGGTGCGTAAATTAGAAGGGGTATGCATGTCTTTGACTTAGCTACAATCGTCATATCAAATAGCCATTTATTTTGGTTCTTGTTTTGTTTAGTGTATTTGAAATTGTATGGATTAAGTGTTTTTACGATTTTTTTTTGGGTGTGTGTTAGTGTAGACTCCACAAAAAAAATAGTTTGTGAGAAAAACAAACAATCTGAGTAGAGTTATAGTTTATAAAATCGAGATGCTTTTCTTTTTATTTATTTCGTTCTTGAATTTCTCAACATTAATTAACTCTTCCGTTTGAAGTTAAGCTTTATGTTTAAAATGGAGAAATGAAAATGATTTTGGGTGCTTTTCTTTAGTGAGAGTTGTCCAATGCTCAATCTTAAGCGGGGTTTCATCACTTTTGAGTGTATATGAAAATGTATACACATAAACCTTTTCCTTAGAATTGATGTCTCTTAGATACTTTCTGGATGCATGGTCAATGCTAACATGTATTTTTTTTTTTAACTTTTTTGGTGTATAGAAAGCATCCAAGTGCAGTCCAGTTGAAGCAAAGCCGGAAGAATATGAGGAGGGAGTGGACTAAGATTTGGCAATTCTACACCGCTCATAGCTTATTAGGAGAATATATTGGAATTTTTTTCTGTATCATAATTGAATTGATTAATTTATGTGAAGTTATGAGTGTAAAGTTTGTAATAAGATGAAAAACTATAGTGTCTAACTCAAGTAACTTCAAAAGTAAGATTATCTTGAGTTACAATTGCGACTTAAAACTTAAGAAAATCTTTTACTATGCGACATTATGATTACAACTAAACGGCAACAGAATCAAACTGAATGATAATTCACCTCCTTGATTTTAGAAATTCCCTATTTGTGCCTATTCTTTAGTAATGTTGTGATTTAAAGTCGCTTCTTGTAGGTGGATTTCAAAATTTAAAAGCATTTTTAAGCTATCAAAAACATTCAAAAATCTAAAAAAAAAAATAGATTGAGGTCTATAGATATATAACAATTAAGGGCTTTGTAAGGACAATTTTTTTTCTTTTTTCAAACACAATCTATAAGATTACAATAGCTTGTTAAGAACATCGGAAAAAATCATTTTTCTATAAAATATCCAAAACAATATACCACTACTCAGACTCTTCTCCCTCCCTTCTCCTCCTTTTTGCTTTCCTTCTAGCTCCCATCCCTTGCCCTACTTGTGCTTAGTCCAAGTGGCAAGGGCTTAGGCTTCTTCACATGATTCAAGGAAATTTCAAAATTAACTCAACCTATTTATTGACCCATGAAAGCCACTGGTCATAAGTTAATTGGTTTTATTATTTCATAACTAATTTATTCAACTCATGACGATATCATAAATCATTTATAATTTGTTTATCGTAGTAAATATCTAAATTATACCAAAAAATTCCCTATGATGTTAAACATAAAAGCAACAAATGATGTTAAACATAAAAGCCAAGTTCATCTCATATGTGCGAAGGTCCAACATTTTCCCTCCAAGTTTCTCTATTCTATTCTATTTATCATACTGTGAACAAAATTGTCTACTTCTTGGTAATATTGGCATTTGGTGACTTTGCTTTAGCTTTTAGCTTTTGCAAGTTACAACTGAAGAAAAATAGAAAATAAAAGTGAGAAGAAGAAATTATTACATATATATTACAGTATTTATAATATTTCAATGGGTTCCATAAATAAATTATATTTATCCAACCTATATTTTTACTTTTTGGAGTTTGCTCAAATAACTAAAGCATTGATGATCAATTTATTGTAAATTGTTTTCTTGTATTAATTATTTATTGTTTTGCTAAAATTCATAGGGACTAATATTGGTTATCATTTTGTCCTCAACTTTATTGGCAGCCCCAAAAGGGCTTGCAAGTTCGAACACTTCATAATTAAACAGAAAATCAGAATTATTAAAGACTTCCTTTTTGGTTTACAAACATAAGAAATATTGCAATGCTATGGTTTAAAAAAACCAAGTATAAGTTCAAATGGTTCAAATTTAGTAAATTAGAACGTAGCACATTAATGGTATGTCAACTAAACGTTATTGTGGACTCATTGCTAGGAAGTTATTACACATATTCATGTCATTACACTTTCATATTTTTTTAATAACCAATATCTTTATTTCACTATTGCCATTTTATAAGTTTTCTTAATGTAGAGCTGTAGAATATTGGCAAACAAAGGGGGGAAAATCTTCAAACAAATTATAAGAGCAAAATTAACAATAACGTAACAATTTGCGTAAATCTTTTTACAAAAGTGCTTGACATTAAAGGGATCAATACAATAGTGATTTCTTGAATAATATCCTTTTTGGTACTTACCTAGGTATTTATTGAAAACTAAGATAAGAATCTCTATATAAACTAGAAACAAATCAATTCTTTTCTACTATTAGAATCGAGAACATTAAAGCTTTGCAAAATTGTATAGAAAATGATTTTTTTTGTTCTTCCTTAGTTTAAGCTACAAATTCCCCTCAAACTTAAACAGAACATAATCCAACCAGTATCACTATTTCTATTGCTTTAGTTTTGACACACTAATGTATTAATTATAAAACATTATTGATATTTGGGATTTAATTGTTTTGAGATAGGAGGGATAACAATGGATCTTTAGAAGTAAATTTTCCACTGCAATTTCCTTTTATAGATTGCACTGTTGCATTAATAGCTTGGTTTATGTGATTTTTTTTATCCAAATACAAATACTAATTGCTATTTTTATTACTACTATCGTGGTCATTATATTCACAAACAACATACGTAATCATGAATTTAGTAAATGAAAAATGATAGATTTAAACTAAATTAAATTAATATAACTAAAAACTACTTTCATATGTTTTATTTTTCTATACAAAAAAAAGGTATTAAAAAAATTTAAATAGAATATGTGTAAAGGCTATAAATAAGTTAGGAACAGAAAAAGTAAAAAGGTAAAACTTGATAAATATGCAAGGCAAGGCAAAAATGCACTTTGCATCCTCAATACTTAAGGTATTGGACAATTTTATCCCTAAAGTTTCATGCAAACACATTTCGTCCTCATAGTTTCATAAATTTGACTAATTAAGGACAACTGATAGATTGTCAAGCAATTTGAATGGAATATCATCACTTGACCATAGCATACCTGTTAGAAAAATACAAAAAAAAAAATAGATTAACAAAAATCTCAAAAACTATTTTTTAGTTCACTTTCTTATTTTAAGAAAAATAACAAATTTTCAACCAACATTACTCTCTTCTTAATCACAAATTGAACAAAAAGATCGAGACAAAATAAAGTCGGGGAGAAGAAACAATCCCATTATAGCCAATTGGAGAAAATTTTCAAATAATCCCATTGCAACCAATTGGAGAAAAATATTAATGTGAATAAAAGAATTGTTTAAATTGTCATTTATTTGCAAGATTTTATTTTGTTGCATCATATTCATGTTTTTCAAATTGTCTATTTATCATCCAATCTATTTTTTGTTTCACATACATCATATCATAAATTTAAAAAAATAATCTCTTGACCCAACACACTCATTATTATTTATATAATTTAATCAATGACTGAATTAAGTATTAGCTATACAATCATTAACTGGACATGCTAGTCATGTGATGATATTCTATCCAAATTGGTTAACAATCATTCAACTGCCTTTAATTAATCAAATTTATGAAATTATGAGGATGAAATATGTTTGTATAAAACGTTAGGGATGAAATTGGTTGAAATTATAAAATTAAGAGGGTGAAATGTGTTTTGACCGAAACTTTAGGGATAAAATTATCCAATACCCCAATCATTGGGGATAAAAAGTGCATTTTGTCCAATATGCAAAATACTCCCGAACTGCTACCGAGCTCAGAGCCCAACCAGTCTGAACCAAACTGGCCATAATTTGCTAACATTTTCTACTTGAACACTTCCACGCAAGACGGATCAAACCTTACAAATCTTGAAATCTTCATCAGCTTCAATCTTTCTTTTGAATCCATGAAACGTCCAACCATGCCAATCTCTCATTTCTTCTTCAAATCACCAAACTCCCCAACTGTTTCAAGCATGGATGTGGGTAAAAGATCAATCCACACACTGGTTTCTTACTTTCTCAACATGGAGTTTCACAGAACAATTGCTTCACCAAGATTGCACTTTTATCACGCCAAAACTCTTCCTTCTTCCTCCATAACTCCCCTAAATCATGAATTCACACAAACCAACTTTACTGGTTCATCAAAACAGCCAAAACCCATTAACAAAATCACATCTATTGACCAAAATCTGCCTCCTACAGCTACAGGCCTGAAATTTCGGACTAACTTTTCCTCCACCAGTATCCAATCTGGAAAACACCTAAATGATGGAATTTCTTGTACCCGTTTTGTTAATTCATCCAGGAAACCAGAACCCATGTTCAAAATTATCTCTTTTGATCGAATGTTTTATAAATTTACTCAGAAAAGGTCATTTTCATCAGCACCATCGGACCCCTTTTCTGTTAAACCAATGGAGTTTGGTTCTAGTGATTCAATCCCTGTGAATTCAACAATGAGTCCACGATTTGAGAGTTCTGCACCAATTGATGCAGGCCATTCAATGAGGAAACCTATTAGTTTGTGGCCAGGAATGTACCATTCCCCTGTCACAAATGCCTTATGGGAAGCAAGGTCTAGTATTTTTGAGAGACTTAACAATGTTGCAGCTGATGCCCCTTCACCTAATGAGTTGATCGCTAAGCCTCCATCAAAGAGTAGGACTAGTATCGTGTATAAGTTTTCCACTGATTATATTCTGAGGGAACAGTATAGGAATCCTTGGAATGAGATTAGGATGGGAAAATTTGTTGAGGACCTTGATGCATTGGCCGGAACAATATCCTTCAAGGTAATATGATTAGGATAGTGGTTGATTTGTAATGTAATTTTTCGATTTGCTTAATTGCAGTGTTAATTTAGGCCTGTGCAAGCATTGATTATTTAAAGTTATTCACCATTAGAAGGTTTGGATTGCAGTTTGATCAATTCAAATGCTGGGCGTTGCTTAATAAAATATCCAGAAAAATGGATTTGTTTGACCATAAATGTGTTGATATTTGAGTTGTTTGACAATAAATGTGTCTATGCTGAATCATTGGTCACATTGTGCATATCTTGCTTCTCTTGAAAATTGTTTTCTCTAGTTATCTTTCTATTATAGCAAGATCACTTGCTGGTTGCTAATAGATGCTCAATTTGAGGCTCCTGTAGGTGTAAACTTCTGACTGCTAATTTTCAGAGACTTTATACTGACATATTCCAATTCTAGAGTTTTCACCATTTTGCGTTATGCTGTGATATATTTAGCTTTGGTTGTTTCAATTGAAACTTTGGTAGTTCATCGTGTTATAATGTTTGCCTATTTCTCAGTATTGCGTAGTTTTCTTGCTTCCTGTAGTCATCCCATTTGAAATGAATATTGTGGATTGGGAATGTTCATTGATCATGCACTATTTTGGGGCTTGGTGGTCTTGTTTAAATTCCCTATATCCATTCCTTATGTCGGCTGTTTGAGTCTTGCAATTGACCTTTTTCTCCTTTGGTGTGACTCCAGCTTCGAACCCCATTTTGTGGCTTTCTGAGCTATTCTAATCGGAATGATTTCTTTCCAGAATCACTACTAACATGCTAGAAGAATAAGAGTAGAAAATTTTTCATAAGACCTCATTTAGTTGCATCTGATTGTTGTTTAGTATCACCACTAACACTAGTGTTGATGTCATGACCATTCCTTTACCAAGTGAGTCCATATGTGTGTCTTATTTATTTGCTTGTCATTTTACTGTATTTTGGATTAGATTTGGCTTAAAATACATGTAAGAGAAATTTTATTGATTCAGAATACCTAACATATTCCTCAAGCATATTAGTAGCCCTTGATCCCCTGACTCAGTTCATGAAACTCATCAGCAGAAACACATTTATGAAAGCCATTTTTCAGAAGAAAATAATAAGGAAAGACACAAAGAAAGAGATATGCAGAACTTTTCTGTTGAACAATTCTAAATAGGTGTCCTTGGAAAAGTAAAATCCTTTTCTAGAAAATACAGGTGAGCAAAATGTTGATTTCACCAGTCTGCTATGCTCTTTCATGTTATTGATTGTTGCATTTCGAAATTTTCATATCCCTTCAGCAGATTTACATGGATTTTGGACAGTTCGTGGTTTGTGATCTTGTTTCTGTTCTCCTATTTGAGATTATTTTACTTCATAAATTACATGTTTCTGAACCAGCATTGTTCCAGCGCTGACAGCACTACGATGCCTTTATTACTAGTCACTGCATCTGTGGACAAGATTGTTCTGAGGAGACCAATTCGTGTTGATACTGATCTCACAATAGTGGGGGCTGTCACTTGGGTTGGGCGTTCATCCTTGGAGATTCAACTTGAAGTAACTCAGTCTGCGCAAGGTTTCTTTGGAAATACTGTTCTATTTTCCACCCAATCTAGATAAAATCTTCCTCCTACAAATTCTCATTTAATGTGTGAGAAACAATCTCGCACTTGTCAGCCATATACTCTTTTTGGTTTTGATGTAGTACTTCAATTTCCAGCTTATCCTGAAAAATGGAATCCCAAGCTTTTTAGTATATCTTATGGATTAAACTTCTAGGTGTCATGTCTTTGATTACAAGGATGGATGTGTTTAGAGTGTAGAGGGACAGGAGCAGAAAGAGTTAATTAGACAAATTCAGAAGCTTGTCTATAATATGGGAATCAAATTGCTTCTAATTAGAGTGTAATTAAGTTGATATTTGTGATTGAGATGTTAATTATGAGAAGAGAGTTAAGTAATGTCCATATTGCTTTTCCTTCTAGTGCGAGCTTGCCAAGTTTCTCGTGATTTTTCTGGAGAAGTTCTAGTAGAAATATCTTTTGCCTTGCAGGGTATCCCTTTGTTAAAACAGTTGCAACAGATGAAAAGGTAGCACTGTTATGGTTTTGAAAATTCATGTCTCATCATGTTTATTTTGGTGCATTTTGTAACACAGACCATTAGAAACTTTATATTAACTGAAGAAAGAATTGAAATTTGCTGCATCACATATCTGTTGTAAGAGTATAATAAAAAGTTTAAGCTCGGTGGTGTACATGTTTGGCTGTAACCAAATGTTTTTCATATTCAAGGAAACTTTATATGTTTGAATGATTTGAATATGAATACCAAGTTTACTGCTCTTGTTCAAAGGGAAATCTTTTCTTCTTTTGCTGTGGTTTTATTATATCCATTTTCTAGGCAATTCCAAATATCATCTGACATCTTGATGATTTGATTTTACCATCAATATGTTGCTGTTATGCAGGAAAAATGTACATGAAATGTAATTGTAAATCATCGATTTGTCTGAGTATAATGTCTCAAATATCCTACAATGGGTTTTTCTCGTGATGCCCAGACCTCAGTCTTATAATAAGAAATTTTTGTCTGGTTTCTTCTTCATATAGGATAATATTTTCCTGTAGAGACCATTATAAGCTTATTTCATATTGGAGAATTAAGAAATAAGACATAGAGTGGTTTCTTTTAGTAAGAAACAGTTACGAATCACTGGTTTTCTTATTCTCTCAGTATCCTCTTGTTATGTTTGTCTGTAGATTGAAATTGTAAGCCATTTCTTTGCAGAGACATCCAGTCAATCAGACTCATTGGCTCTTACTGCAAACTTTACCTTTGTGGCCCGCGACTCCAGAACTGGAAAATCAGCTCCAGTAAACCAGATCTCACCTGAAACTGAAAGAGAAAAATTGCTTTGGGAAGAGGCAGAAGAAAGGAACCAAATTAGGAAAAAGAAGAGGGGAGAGAAAAGGCTAGGGATTGATAATGATGAGGAAACAAAAAGGCTCAATGAGTTGCTGGCTGAGGGACGGGTCTTTTGTGACATGCCAGCTTTGGCCGACAGAGATAGCATTCTCATAAGGGATACTTGCCTGCAGAACTCTTTGATTTGTCAACCACAACAAAGGAATATTCATGGTAGGATTTTTGGAGGCTTTTTAATGCGAAGGGCTTTTGAATTGGCCTTTGCCACAGCCTATAGTTTTGCTGGTGCCGCACCACGCTTTGTGGAAGTTGACCACGTTGATTTTTTAAAACCTGTAAGTAACTATTTTGCATGTGCCCTGTGTTCATGGTGGGTTACCAGCACAAGCATTATTCTTTGACATTCAGAATGTTCCTGAACTTATCCTTTTGTGGTCACATTTCTGGCCCTCTCTTTTTTGTGAGTGAGCAAACTTCAAGCATCAAACTGCACATGGTTTGGATTTGCTTCTTGTTTGATCTTTTGCATTACCAGGGAAACTTGCAGGGCATAAAAATATTAGCCTGTATATTCAAGTCTATTACTGCTGGGTCACATGATAAAGTTAGTCTTTTGGGGCGAAGATATTTTTTTAGTCACATAGTTTCATATATTGTAAGATCAGAAGTACTAGTCTAGCCATCCCATATTCATGGTGTCTGTGTTGATCAAATGCTTAACTGACTGATCGTGCAAAAGTAGTAACTAGCTTATAGGAAAAATTGCCACTCATTCCATACTGAATAAGACAAAAAGCAACTAATTCTTCAATAATTCGGTGAGACTGCCAATGGGCCATATCTTGTAAGAAGGCGGATAAATCCATGCATAATACCCAACTAGTCCAAGAATATTAGATGTACATCCTGAAAAGCTGGCATTGCTAGTGAGGGCTTAACAATCTTGTGATATTAAGCTCATGAGTTATTAACAGATGATTCTGCTCATGCAGGTGGATGTTGGAAATTTTCTTCGTGTCAAATCATGTGTTTTGTATACAGAACTTGAGAATCCAGACAAGCCTATGATCAATGTGGAAGTTGTAGCTCATGTTACAAGGCCTGAGTTCAGATCTAGTGAAGTAAGTTCTCTAATTAATAGAATTGAGCTGATATTCATCGCATTAGTCAATTATCCATGCATTCGTCAAACTTTATTAAATTGTACTTTTGCCATATTTTCTCAACTTTTCCTCTTTGGTGAACCATGAGAAGGGTTTGATTTACCGTATTAGTAGTTTCATCCTCCATAGGACATTTGTGGAACAAGTCTGAGATGAAACAACTGTTCTACTTCTCTTTGGATGGGCATCTAAAGTCACCAAATACGCAATCAAAAATGGAAATGAATAAGAGAAGTGGAGAAGACATTTGGGGATGCTCATGTTTGAGAAATAGATGCCCCAATCAATAGTTTATATAGCATTTTACTGGTCCAGTGATTACATCACTTACATTTTCACACTAATTAAAGAAACAATAACTTAAATTTTCACACTAAGTAAAGAAACAGTAACTTCAGTGAAATACTGCATTATGTGTTGGTTAGCAAATACATATTCTCCTCCAAAGGATACATGCACAGTAATATGTTCATGGTAATATTTAATTTTGTTGAGAGCTTATAGGGCGATATTTGTTTCTCTCCAGGTATCCAACAAGTTCTACTTCACATTCACTGTCCGCCCAGATGCCATCAAAGATGGTTTGAAGATCAGGAACGTCGTACCCGCCACTGAAGAAGAAGCAAAGCGTGTTATCGAACGTATGGATGCCGAGAAAAAGTAGGTGTTCAGCTCATAAAAATCTGTTGCTTATGAGCAAGACTTAGGTCCCTTCTTGATCCCAAGAATAAAATTGATGGTATGTTTACTAACTAGGACAGTATTGTTGATCTGCAAAACTGGGTTACCTGAACAGCGGATGTGAAGAGTTACCTGTTGTAAATAATAATATGCCTGGTTTTGCAGACTTAAATCTCTTTATGACATATTGGGTTGAAATTTGTTGATTGCCATTATTTCTTTTCTGTAGAGAATGCAAATGTCTCTTTAACTGCTGATTGATAGAAATTTCTTTCGGCTTGAATAGGCAAGAAGTTTGCTCTATGAGCACCAATACTGCAAGCTATAACTAAGCTTCCCTTCACTTTCATTTTCTGAATTAACAGTCAGTCCAGTGAGTATTGTTATGCAGACTGCCAACCGTACTGATCATATATCTACTGCCATGTCTTTTAGGTAAGTGACAATTCTTCAGAATGAGACACCCTCCACGACAGCACAAAAACTTGCTTCCATTGTCCTCTATACGCATGCCAAAGACTATTCCGAGACAACAAATCCAAGAGTCCTAGAGAAAAGAGAATGTCTGCAGTGAAAAGAGAATGTCTGCGGTATTATCTCATTGCACACTGCTGCCGAAAAAGGCCAAGTGTTTGACAATACTACACAACACGTGCATCTTTATTCAATACAAACGAGTCGAATTGAATCGAGTTTTGGTATAATCGATCTAAATTTTGACTTAATTTTATCAAACTTGAACTCGAAGACCTTTCAATATAAAACTAAAATTCGAATTTGAGTTCGAACTTAAAAAAATAAAAATAATTATTTTATTTTTTAAAATAAAATATTAGAAATATTATTTTAAAAAATAAAATATTCGAGCTCGATGACCTCTCAATGTAAAAAAAATAAAATAATATTTTTTCTTAATAAATAAAAAATATTAGAAATATATATTTAATTTACTATTAAAATAATATATATATATATATGTGTGTGTGTAAAATTGAATCAATTCCCGAACTAACGAGTTAAGTATCTTTAAATTCGAGTACGATCTCGAGTTCGATTTGATCATACTCAAGCTCAAACTCGATATTGACCGAACTCAAGTCTATTTTTGACTCAAACTGCTCGCAATCGATTCGATTCGTATACAACTCTAATTCGAATACCACCACCCTTCCACCCCCCCGGGCCCCCCTTTTAAAACTAATTGTAAAATTAAAAAAGGAAAAAAGAAGAAAAGCAGCATACGAGAATTTCTCTGATTCAGAGATGTACAATCTTGCAAGAGTAAGTTTAACAAAGATGCTGCATTACAAAACATGGTGAGATTTACAAGCTAGCCCTCGTCAATCAAAACTACCAAATTATTATATCCTGATTGATATGATTACTTCTGGCTATATTACATATAGGACGAAATAATTCTAAAAATCCTCTACATCAATTTATACAGGTCGAAAATGAAAAGGAGATGGCTAAATGACTCACACAAGGCAAAGCTCCTTTAGGTTTAGGTAACAAACTAAAATCGTATAGTGGACCAAGCAGAGACGAAATTTCTGCTGAAAGGGATCGAAAGTTAAGGTAAGGATGAGCTTTCATCATCAGAGGAATTACTATGCTGCTGTCCACTGAATCCTGGGAACACTTGGGGAAGGCTTGGATTCACTGGTGCTGGAAACTGTCGAGCAGAGCTGACAATAGTTCGCTCATTGACCTTTCCAACATCCTTGCAAACCTGATCAAGGATGGAAAGAAAGTCCTTTACAACCATGAATATTCGAAATGGATGAGCTTCTTCCTTCACTGAGTTCCCATGAAAATATTCTGTTAACTCTCTAACCATGGACAAAGCAACGCCTTCTTGGGCTTGGATGTTGATAATATCTTCTTCTGCCTTCTTAAGAAAGCCTTCCATAGATTCAGAAAATTTTCCACGACTGTCTGTTAAAGGAAGCTCTTCGTTTAACTTCAAAATCTCAGTAACATCGGTAATTCCACGAGCTAGTTTTAGAACATCATTATTTAGAGCATCTGAGTCCATTGAAGCAGCCTTTTTGACATTGCTAAGCTCCCCACTAAGACGAGAAACAACCTGAAGACCAACCTTTCTAAATTCAACTTCATTCTGCAATGTGTATTGCTGGTCTGTTTCAGCAGTTTGATTCTGATGAGCACCAGCAAGACGAGAACCTTCTGCTCTGATGATCTCCTGAACTACAAAATGTAAGAGCGTGGTTCTGCCATCAGTGCCTTTAACATCAACAAGCTTAAGTAGCGTGTCAAGCTTGAAGGCACGTGCATCTCCACGGTTAGTCCCAACATTCATACGGTTCCCAGTTTTAAGCACAGCTTCTAGAAGCTTCAGGAACATTCTGCTGTTTCTTAATTCTTTACAAGCTTCCTGCAAAGTAACATGAGCAGATAGTGTTTGAACAATAAGATTACAATCAAACTTAGTTGATGCAACTTTCAATTAACAGTAAGGTGCTCACCAAGTTAGATGTGGGTATATTGTTTGCTATTAAGAATTTCTGCTTTTAGTTTGAGTATGAAAAGAACTCTGAGAACAGTAAATCAGGGAAGAAGAATAAACATTGCAAATTTTCAATTGTTGATCTTTGGCCACGTACTCATACATGATTCAGGGATCGTTACATGTTGAAACACAAATTTATTCTCATTTTTCTTTTCTCTGATCATGCTCCTGCTTCCATTGTTTTTGAGGTCATCAGAGAAACACGATTGTCTTTTATCACTTCGGAATGAAAAGGTATGAACCAATAAAAGCAACTGGAAGCAACGATTTCAGAATGCGGTTCATATATCATAAGTTGCATGATAAGGATACCCTTAAAGATCATCTAGCTAACCTCTTCCCATAACCACTTGACAATACATACCTGAAAAAACGACTATATTCAAAGGGCGAAAAGAAAAGTAACAATGCAGGATTTCCGAAGCCAATACGGACTGAAATAAAAGCTCCAAGATAATATGATTTCCAGATAATAGATGTCCGTGAGAAATCAGTCAGATGATCAAACTTTACCTCCAGTGTCTCAAACGACCTCCTAAGGTACTCGACTTCCGAATCAAAATTTGCTATATAGAGCATAGCATCCACCCTCTTGAACGCAAAGGGTACGTGGAGCACTGCCTTCAGAAATTTCTCAGCAGGACCCAGCTTAAGTGGTGATTCATCTGTGAACTCTATTAATTTCCGTTCTTCTTCCTTTGTAGGAGCCATTTTTAGTAAGCTCTCAAGCAACTCCGTTCCCAACATGTCAGCATTGCCTAGTTACAGTTGCAATCAGGTGAAAATTTCATTAGTAAAGAGTTTTTTGGCAGGTTAGACAGAGAGGAGGTGCATTTGGCCAATCAAACTTTGCATTAGCAGTGATTTCCAGCTACTACAACAAGGTTCACAACCCAGTATCTTTAAGAAGTCAGTATCACACAAAACAAACTTCATGCAAGATAAGCAATCTTAATACAATGAATAAAAAAAAATTAAAATCTTAGGACCCCATTAGTTTGTGGCTTTTAAAACACTACGCTAATGGCATTGGATTGGGATTTTCTGCTTCCACAAGCAAGGAACTAGCGACTTTCTGCGCCAGCTGCCACCGCCAAATTTACGAACTCTGAAGCACTTTAGTAAGCAAAATGAAAAAATTAAATCTAGTGTCCAAATATAGGAACTTTTACATAATTAACATTGTTCAACAGATGACCAACCCATAGCCCACCTCCTACCATCTTCTGCCAACAAAAATGCAGAAGAGAAGCAATTGCCAAACTCAGGAACCTAGGACAGCAAATCCTGGTCATTAAGGTAAACATAAGATGACAATCCAACCTATTTAACCTAATCATGCATATGGTTCAAATGCCAATGAAATCTTAAACCAGGGACACCATCAGCTTCAGATTCATTGTTCTCATTTCAAACAAAAAGTTGGCATAATTTGAGTGAGCTCGCCAAATTTCAATGAATCATATCAGATGCATACTGAATGTAAAGTTTAAGCATTAGAAAAATGCTCTGAGATCGAAGGAAAGGGTTCTGTGTCTACCTTCTAAAAGTGCCTCACAAACTTCTTCAATGGTAACATTAAGCGCCCGCAACAAGATGGCAATGTTCTGAGACTTCTTTGGATCCAGGACCTGGTTTTCTTGATTTAATGGAGGCATCAATGGACGCCTTATGCCATCTCTCGCATTTGAATTTGAAGCAGTGAACAATGTCTCGATCATTTCTTCATTCAACCTATAAAATCCATATTCCATGTGCTTAGAAGGATCCATATCCTACATGCTTAGAAGGAGAAAAGAACAATTGTACACAAAAATAAACTATTTATTAAGTCCAAATATCCACTTTAAGCAAGAATAGATCACTTTAAATACAAAAGAAAAGTATCCATCAAGAATCATTCTCTTTTAGAAACATAAAATAAAACCAATCAACCAAAGTTGAAAACGATTCAGCTACAAAGTATTTTTACCTGAAACTGGAAAACTTCATAGGATCGAAACTCAGAAAAAGGTCATCATTGAATACTTTTAACACGTATATTATAAATATAAATAAATAAAAGAAAGGCTTTCGATAAATCCTAGAATCTTACTGAAATGAGCTAGATTTCATCTGATCCCAAACCATAGCTCTATCTGAGCTGGCTCTAACTTTATCCCAATGCAGAGGCTTCAACTTGGGCTTCACACCATTCTCATTTCTCCCCTCCAGAGCCTCCGTATTGCCCAACCCATTACTCAGATTTTGTCCCACAACCGGCCTGGACGGAGCCACCAGCTCTGGTGGCCCGGCATTCAACTCAGGAGTATCCCAAAATCTTGGTGGCGGCGGTGGTGGAGGTGGTGGAGGCACTGTTCTCATACCAGCAAACCTCCCCGAAAGATCCAAATTTTCCCCTGGAGACTCCATAGTTATCCCTGAATAATCCGAAACTCGAGTAGGCGAATTCTTGGTATTCCCTGAAGATGGTGGGGACGACGACATTCCCCTTGGTTCTCGGGCCGGTGGCGGGGGAATGAACAGCGGCGGGGCAAGAAAATTCACCATGGAATCTGGCGATTTCGATCTTATACTGCTCCTGGGGCTCAAATTCAGCATAATTGAGGGACTACTTGACAAAGAATGGGATTTTGTGGAATAACGGTGTGAATTTGAACCTGGGCTAGGGAGATTTTCACCTGATCCGCTGTGGACAGGACTATACTTTTCCCCCGTGGACCCTCTTGGGGAGAAGAATTCATCATCCTCGTCGGAACCCAGGTTGCTTGCAGCACCATTTCTGTAGTCTTGGTGGAAATGGTGCTGGTGCTGGTGCTGGTGCTGCTGTTGACGTGGCAGCGGCGGCAGCGGTTGGAGCTCCGGGGAGCCTAGCCGTTGATACTGAAGTGAAGCTGAAACTGAAGCTGAAGAAGGGACAGTATTATGGTGATCTTCTGAGCTCTGAGGAACATTAGATGCCTCATATTTAACATCTCTGGAGCTTACTAGAGTTCCCAGGTAGAGAAATTCTGAGCTGTTAGAGGAAGGAGTGTGGCGGGCCAGCTGTGGCGGCAGAGGTGTTCCCGGAAGTGGGTTTTTTGTGGTGGTGCTGTCGGAAGGAGTGACGTTGGGCGGGAAAAGGCGAAGACTGTCTGTCTTG